AGCTATCATTAAAGAATTTCCCTCCTTTCAGTCCTCCCTTTCTCTTTTTTTCCTCCTTATTGTTTCTGCAGGACTGACGCTACCTTCTGAATTTATTCCCCCTCACTGGACAAAGCAGTACCCATGAGACAAACACTCTCTTTTTTTCTTTTTTTTTTTAAAAGACAGGTTTCTTGGAACTGCCTCTTCTTAAGCTCTCTCAAAAGTTCACCAGCACATGAGAGATGTAAAATAAAAGATGCTGTCAGTGGTGATGCACACTGGGATCCACCAGCAAAGAAGAACTAGATATAAGAGCATTCAGTTGTGGAGATTATGTGGCCACTGCTAAAATAGCATCCTTTAATGCATAAAAATAAATCACTTTTAAATGTGTTTCCATGGCAAAAGCAGCCACCTGGCATACAGGTCAGTAGTTGGAAATGCTGTGTCAAGGAATGGAGGCTGACTAGTTCATAGAATTCAGCCACCATTCCCCTGCCCATATTGCAACTCAGTAGGCTTTGAAGAAAACGTGCTGGAGATGTCATTTTCCACTCTTTTATAAGCATCCACTTCAAGATGCTTCACTCCAGGCTAGCAAGGAATGCCCTACATCCCTCTAGTGCTCCTTATGGAATCTATGACATAGGATCGAGGTTACAACTGCATACATTGCAAGCATTTGTGCAGAATACAGTCCCATGTGTGCATATTCACCATAACATATATTCCTAAGAATGCTTAATTAGCACTTTATACAGAAAAAAACTTCAGGCACTATACCTAACATTTATCACGCCTACTTTTAAAACAGAAGTAGTAGTATATTTTTTTACACGTGGAAAGGGGGTCTAAATTTTTGTTTTTTCAAGAATATACAGGAGTAAAGAGCAGAGAGCTTTGTAGAAGGAAAGCACCCATTTAAAATATTTCATGTTCCTCCTTGCACTGCAATCATTTAGTAGTAACTGCCTCAATTAAAAAAAAACAAACAACAAACAAAGCCAATAAAAAGAACCTACGCTGTTTTAAAAGAGCGAATCAGTGCCTGTCTCCCAAAGTCTGAATGAGCATCACACACCTTTCTGGAAGCCATGCCATGATTAAACCAACCTTAGCAGAAGGGCAGCCATTCCATGGCATATTTTCCACTAGAGGTCAGGCTGAAGGAGCTAATGATCTATCTTAGCCTTCAAAATCTGTGAGTGGGAGTTACTAATCAAGATTTGGAAGTCTGAAAATCAGTATTTAATTAATACTGCTCTGTTTCACTTAAAGTGAATCACAAATGTATATTTTTCTAAGCGTCCAACAGCTGGAGGTATTCAATCTTGAGAGTATTTTAACGTATTTCAATATAACCTTTCACAGAGCCCTGGATCTGCCATCTCATTTGGCAGCACAAGGTTTGGAAAGGAGAAAAGGTATTCCTAGATTTCAGCCTTGAAGTGAAAAACATGTTAGTTTGAATAATAACAGATAACATTCTAGTTACTTTTAAAAGGGTCTTTTTAAAGTTTTGCTTTTTATTTTTTCTTTTAGAAAGGACATACATTACAAGCATTTCCTGCCGAAAATCTAGATTGAATTTGTTTCTGTAACTAACTAGGAAGAGACACAGCTAAGCATGGAGTACATGACCCTAACAGGCTTCAGGTGACCATAAAGTTTTTCAAAACCCCAAAGTGATTTGAATTAGGAGCCTAAGCTTTTCTTTTCCTGTACTTTGGTGACTCAGGCAATTCCATCACTTTCAGAAACACTGACCCGACTTCTTGAAATAAACACCTCAAAGGCAGTGAAATTGAGATATATGCTTGCTTCTGAAAATTCAAGGAAATGTTTAATGTATCATTTGTAGTTTTAAACACCTGCTTTGTTGTGACAGAATGCAAAGTCATGCTCAAATGGCAAGTCCTAGCTCAGACCTCTGTACCAGTCACCAGCCCTCTCAGCAACTCACTGCCTTCAGCGCATCTATCTGCAGCCATGAAAACCAGGAGAAAGTAATTTTGGCTAAAGCCACATAAGCATTTACCCATGGAGTCAGAAACTAAACTGAGGAATTGCTCACGTTTGCACTTCTGAAAATGAAGCAGCCCATGAAATTCACTGGGAGATGAAAACAGCTAACTAGGTCAAGCTATGTCAGCTAGCATTTTAAAGTACTTCACGGTCAACTATTAGAGACACTTTAAAGATACACTAAGTACTTTGGAGAAGGAAGAATACAAAATGCCAGGAATAACTAGCAGAGAGAAGAAAACCTGTAGTTTCTCTTAGTTGCCTAAGATTAGTCGTGGGAATAACAGGCATAAGGAACAGAAATGAAGCCTAGGGGACATTGGCTTGACCTCTTTTTATATGTCTCCCATGGACTAGCCTCTTCTGTACTTTCACCAGGTCAAAAGCAGCATACCTGCTGATAACAGCCAGTCATTTCATCAGTTACGGATTATTTCGTTCAATGAATTTCATTTTGTTAACAGAGCCTGATAATACCAGTCTGAAATCCACACGTGCATGTTTTAAAAGGTGAAAATTCAGTTTAGCTCAGCAATACATTCAACTAATACACTTTTTTTTTTTTTCTTCACTAGTTCTCCTGAGAATAAGCTAACCTTTTAAAACTTAGAGCTGTACAACAACAGGTACAGTATACCTCTCTAAGGCATGGCCTGGAGAAACGCAAGAGCTGTTTGACAAGGACCACTCCAACACACTTCCGTGGAGCTGGCAGTTGGGAGTTTGACTGAAGCTGGTAAGGCAGATTTCCCAGATTGAGCACGTACCCCACCCAGATGCACAGATGGTATTTGTGGGAGCAAAGGAAAATAAAACATAGGTTTAAAATAAATGCAAGAGAAACACAGAATAATATTGAATCACTCTAGGTATTTCTAAAGGTTTCAGTTTATCTTTTCTACTTCTCAGCACATAGCGAGTGTATGTTCAGGGCTTTGAAACCACTGAGCAAATGGAAGGGGTTTAAAAACTAGTTTTGTTTCAAATGTAAGACCACAGAAATAAAGACAGGCTCTGGGTTTTTCTTTTCAGAATGAGATTGCTGTACAGAAGCTTGATGCAAAAGGAGTTAAAAACGCTGTTCCTGAATATGTCTGGCAATGACAAGCAGGCTTGTCAAAAGAGCCTTTTTGGTGCTAAAGGAAAGGACTCGCTCTGCTGCTGAATTTCAGATGGGTCCCTCTGCACGGTGGCTACTTTCCCATTGTTTTAAATGGATACAAAGACACACAGCTGGAAAGAAGAGGCAAGCTACAGAGAAGTGAGGGAAATACAGCTTTAGATGTTGGTATTACAATATAATGAGGTGGAGCAGCCACAGCCAGATCAATCTGAGCTGGCAAGTTGAATCTGATGATTGGTTTGGGCCCCAGCACACGGCCCCAGTCTGGCCCCTTCTCCTTCCATCTCTAGTCCTTCTCAAGCTAGGAGGAGCTGATGGCCAATCTTACCTTGTTACTATTGATACCATCCAAGTTAGCTGGTCTCAAGATCACATGAAAAGCTACCAGAGAAAGAAGGGAGAGGAGAAAAACAGCGCAGGTAGGAAGTGGTGGAGAAAAATGTGAGGAGAAGAAACACAAAAGCCCATGTTTCCCGTAAGAGTCCCTGGTAACCCAGAGGCATTGACATGTGCTTTCTCTGCCATCTCAGGAATTGAAGCTGCACAATGTTCTACTTTTAACCATCTTCTCTTAAGCATCATCCTTCCAGAGGATCCAGCTCTTCATTATTTCACTCATCAGTTAGATTTAATCTCTGGTAAATCAATATTAACGTCTTGATTTCAAGTCCCACCCTTCCCTTGTTTAGTAGACATGACTTAAACACTGTCCTTGAATTGCAAGAAAAATCTCCCTTCTTTGGATTAAATCAGTCTGTCTGTACTCTTCATGACTCCTCCTGCTACCCTTTTCAGTTACAGCCTCACGTAACACTGCACAGACTTCCACTGGTTCATCTCACAGCTGTGGGTAGGTAGGCAGGCCCTCCCGTGATATGCCTGGCAGTACTACATCCACTTCTCCCATGCAAAAAGAAGAGAAAAGCAAAGCCTTTGGCATATGGAGGCAGCAGGGAGAACTCTCCAGCTCCTCTCTGGGCTATCCCTTAGCAGCTCAGCTTCTGGGGTAGGAAAGGAAACAAAGCACGTTGCACTCTGACTTACGCCATTTAAAACTTATCAACGACCAGCACACTGGATAGTATGACTCCTCTAGGTCATTTTTTTTTCTTGAAATCTTGGGCTATTATTTAAGTCACTGCTACAAAACCAAACAAACAAAACAAAAAAGACCAGGAAGAGTCTTTAAAGAAAATATTTCAAACTAACACAGAGCAAAATTTTCTATCAGCAACATCTTTATGACAGTTATTACATGCAAAATAATCATATATTCACATCTGATTACTTGAGCTATACATTTGCAAGTGTCACTCATTTTATGCTGAACTTATTAAAAAACTGAAAAAAAAAATACCCTTCTACAAAGAGTCTACACTTTATTCAACACGAAACCTATGTTTGGAGTAACTTCAACAAAAAGAATTACTTGTCCCCATTCCTGGAGGTATTTAAAAGATGGGTAGATAAGGTGCTTAGGGACATGGTTTACTGGTGGACTTGGCAGTGTTAGGTTAACAGTTGAACTTGATGATCTTAAAGGTCTTTTACAACCTAAACGATTCTATGATTCTAAACACAGTCTAGCCCAAATACTTTTTTTGTTTTTTATCTATTCAACTGAGAGAAATGGAGCTGCAACGGTTTGGGCTTTTTAATCCCAAAGTGGATTATACAAACAACAATTTCATCAAAGATTTTTTTACAACAAGCCTAGCATTACTGGTTATATCTTATTATTAAGGTAAGCATTCTTCAAAGAACTGTATGATTGGAATCTCTTCCAGATACATAGTGACAGGCTATTTGCTGGCTGCAGTAAGAAGAGTCAAAATGAAAACAAAAATACAAACATGCTTTTTTTTCCTCTTGTCTTTATTGATTTAGACTTCAGAGCTACAGCCAAAAATAGTGCATCTGTAGAAAATTACCACACATACTATCAATACAGCATCATTGCATGTTTAGAATCGTAAGCACTTGACAAATCGCAAAGGGAACATTCAATCTAACATTTTGGCAATGCACTCCATGAATAGGGAACACAGGGAGCAGGATTTTTTTTCCTCCAAAAAGAAATGTTTCTGAACAGGAATGAAAAGCCTCTGTTAAAAAAAAATGAATTCCAGTGACCATGAACAACTCATTCAAAACATCAACATACATTTCTGGAAGCTTTGCGTGGAATGTCAAATGGTACACAGAAGCTATGACTCTGCTACAGGTACAACGCTGTCTTCAGCACTTTGTATGCCATTGAGATGGTCACTGCATACCCAACTGCCCAAGACAAACCTCTGCCAGGCTGGGGAAGAGGGATCAAGTACGCGAAAGTGTGAGCGATCCTAGCCCCAGCGAAGATCCTGAAATGCAGCAAGGCTGTGTACAGCTCAGGGCCGCTGAGAGCATACAGCAGTCCAATGCCAAGAAATGGGACAATATTTTCAAGGTCATTCAGGTGGCCTCTGGGGAAAGAAGCAAAGTTGTTTTACAGTGTTACATTTTGTTGAATAAACCACTTCAAGCATCATTATTTTTCAGCGTCTTCAGATCATGCTACTGTTAAGGCCCTAACACAGCTGCTGGCTTCCTCTGCAGTGGGGACTTGAATGAGCTACTGAAATGCTTTTGGCATGTTCACTCAACATCGCCTTGGTCTTTCTTGCTGCACCACACATTTTTAAGTTTCTGATCTTCTCTATGAAAGGTCTTAGTTTTTCCCCAGGATCTTGGTAATATTAGGGACTTAAATGAGGTATACGAGTGCACCTGGGCATGCAAAAACGCGAGGAAAGGCAGGGAAGAAGACAGACAGATGGAATTTTCTTGTAGCCTCTCTCGACTGAACATCAATTAACTGGATGACTGTGACTGCAACAACTAGACTTCATGGCCCAGATGGTCTGTTCCAATCCCATAAACTCAGTTTGTAGTCCCCATAAAGCAAATATGAAATATCCTACATATGAAACATTCTATCAAATCTTCATGAAGTTCAATCATCTTGAAGAATGCTATTTTTGAGCATCTAACAGGTGTGACAGTTACACTTTTGGTTCATTTTCTTCACTACTAAGCACTAAAATAGCTGAAAAATGTTTGAAATTTTGAAACCATAATATAATTTACTAAAAATGTGTTGAGACTGAACTCCAGATTTTAAAGTATTCTTTCACACCTCTTCCTTAACCTTCCCTGCTCCCTTTACCTCTTTAGATAAATTATACTTCCAGCCAAATTTACTGATTGAAATCACAACCTCTAAGCCTTACTAATTATGTCAAATTTCACAGCCAGCTAGAATCAGAACATAGTGCTGTTTTGCAGCTGCTTTCTGAACTCATTTATCACTAGAAGGAAACATACCCTCCGGCTTTTTTTTCCCCCAAAAAGTACACTGAAGAAATTAATGTCTTTTCTATACCCATAAACAGAACAAATTCCAGTTACTTATACTGAAGAGAAGCCATGCTAAATTTGTGTGGCATCATCTGTTGCTAGGAAGCTTGCGAAAGTGTTGTGGTTTAACCCCAGCCAGCAACTAAGCAGCACACAGCCACTTGCTCACTCCCCCCCACCTTCCCCAGTGGGATGGGGGAGAGAATCGGAAGCGTAAAAGTGAGAAAACTCATGGGTTGAGATAAAGACAGTTTAATAGGTAAAGGAAAAGCTGCACATGCAAGCTAAGCAAAACAAAGAATTCATTCACTCCTTCCTATCGGCAGGCAGGTGCTCAGCCAGCCTCAGGAAAGCAGGGCTCCATCACGCAGATGGTGACTTGGAAAGACAAACGCCATCACTCTGAATGACCCCCATTTCCTCCTTCTTTCCCAGGTTTTGTTGCCAACCATGACATCATATCGTATGGAATATCCCTTTGGTCAGTTGGGGTCAGCTGTCCCAGCCATGTCCCCTCCCAACTTCTTGTGCACCCCTAGCCCGCTCGCTGGTGGGGTGGAGGAGCAGAAAAGATCTTGACTCTGTGTAAGCGCTGCTCAGCAATAACGAAAATATCCCTGTGTTATCTACACTGTTTCCAGCATAAATCCAAAACATAGCCTCATACTAGCTACTATGAAGAAAATTAACTCTACCCCAGCCAAAACCACCACAAAAAGAAAATATTGTAAACTTCCATTAAGAACCATTGTTGGGAGGAAAAAATGGATGCTGTAACACTAGTGGAGTAACTAGAACCAAGCTGACTTACTAGGTCTGGGGAAGTCTGAACAACTGCAAAACAGCAACACAGGATTTGAAAACACAGTGTTTTAAAAATCTAATCTGCATAAATGACTCTGTGAAGTGGTTGTCATTTCTCTAACATAACAATTTGAGTTAAAAGGGCATCTGCTCATAAAGTTAGTATTGACCTAGTTGTCCTCTTAGAATTTACAAATAGAAAGGAATTACTCGTCATGAAAAAGTGCCCATTTTTATACAACAACCAGCAAATTAAACAACTAACAACTCCTTGAACCACTCAGTGCGAGAAAAGGAAAGTTCAGAGCATCTTTACAGCCCACTGAGATTTTTTTGTGAGATTTTAATCCAGAAGAGACATAGAGAAACATACTAGCCTTCATGGAGCCATAGTCATCTACTTTTGCAAGGATGTACTGTTCTGAAACCAGAGCTGATGCTTATTTTCAAGATCTTCCCTAATAGTGGTTTAAATGAGAACAGTTCATTCACATTCAAGTTTTAGGTATAAAAATATATATAGCAAATAAACTGTTAACCTCGTTAAGGAACAATGATATGGAAAGCATTCCATTAAAGCTTTCCTGGTTAGCACAGGTGTATCAAACAGCATCTCTAAAGTTATGATTTTGGTAACTGAAAATTTTGCCATCAGCTGAGTAAAATCAAATAAGCTGCAACATTTAGCCCACTGTAATACAGCTTACATCCTGGCATGAATCTTGCAAAACAAAATACATACACTGCAGGTTGTGCACTGCCATACTATTAATAGCATTCTTCCAGAAGGTTGGTCAACTTTCCTGTACAATTGACACATCAGCGAGTAACCTCGACTCAATCCAGCAAAAAGAGCACAGGCTTTGACTCCCACTCAGTATGATTTACCAGATTAACGCCCTCCTTACAGCTCTGGAGTTCCACGACTGTAACATCGTTTTGCTCCTCTTCCCTCTGTTATTTCCTTTACACTTTAGAAAAAGACGCAACAATTGCAACCGGTGTTCAAATTATAAAGAAAGCTGATTTACACTTAACGTACGCTGCTTCATACTATATCAACTTTGGGTCATATTTTACAATTTTCTCACCACTTCCCCCATGCATACAGGATACTACTCAAGAGTTAGCCATTATAACCAGGCAATGACTTATTATTTTTAGTATGCATGCTGACCATTTCAATGTGGAATGGTTTGTTCATTTAGACAAATTAATGTACTAGATTATTACATAAAGCAAAACACACAGGCTTGTCAAAGAGAATGGGGTGAAACTAATTCCTTGATTTAGTATTATTCTGCTATTTAAAATAATTTTTGAAGACTCTTATGCATTACCTGCGTACACGTTCGACATCTGCATCGGTCCGCAGATACTTTTTAGCACTCTCGCCTTTACCAAATGATGCTGTATCTTCTGGGTTGGCAAATGCCTATTTCAAACACAAACACACAAGAAACATCAGAAGCCAGAATGTTTTTTCTAGTCAAGGCAGCTTGCTATATTAATGCCTCTATAACCCCACATAACTTACCTGAAGTTAAATGCACAGGGGATAATACACTGTTCACTCCATTATTGTTTTTTTGAGCCTAGCCTGTATGTAGCCTGCCTGCTGACAAATTAATGTAATGTAACTTGCGCATGTAGATAAAGCCTTCTTGTAAGATGGACAAGCATGGCAGATGACTGACACTCAGCCTGAAGTAATGCCAGTGGGCTGAAGGAACATAAGGGCCTTTAAGGTAGAACTACTGTCTGTACTACCCAAGTCTCTTTTTCACTATTCTTGACAAATTATCTGAAAGCCCTTTTGGATCCCTTCCTTCTTCAGAAGTCTACACAGCAACAGCATCCAAGAGACTCAACCCATCCTCATTTATGACCAAGTAAGTTTCTCCCTTTCCTCTTAGGTGCAAATTTTTCCATTTATATGACCTCTTATTACCTCCAAATACTGCCAGACACGATTTGAAAACAGCACTTAATTCTTTTAGTGCAGACTGAAGTAGATCTCTCCTTGCTGACACGTGGTAACACATGCATTCTGTGGACCTTTCAGGCTATGCAGGCTTAAGTCACAAAAGCCTCTTGATTTTAGGAGAGCTACATGGTTGCTTTCTGAAGCAGTCTTGATCCCTTTTTGTGACATATCCTTGGCCTAAAAATTCTGGAGTCATGCCAGCAGTATCAGCATCAGCAACGCTTTACTTTCTCTCACTCCATTAACTGCTTTCCTCCATTTTTTTCTTAACATTTTAAAGACTTTTTTATATTAAATAGGAAGTAAAAATGACTTTGCTAGTTTGTCTGCTTGCAATATTACTGTCTGTCGTAAGAAAAATGAGTACTGCAAATTAATGAAGGCCGTCTTGCCACCTACATACCTATGGATCATAACACGGTATGAGCATTACTACAGGACGCCACTGGATCTACATATAGGACCAGCACAGATGACGTGCTTCCTCCACAAGAGCAACAGGAAGTAAGGTTACGACACAGACATCTGGGTCCTATTTTGAACATACAGGACAGGCTGTGTGGGCTACTATACTCAATCTCCAGCTGTGCCAAAGACCTAGAGAGCTATCAGAAACCAGCAGCAGCTCAAATGCTGTGTGCTATTAGGACGTCGTGAACAACAGAACAGTTCAGCTGGCTTCGCTTGCACCCAGCAGGGACAAAAAGCAGCATTTCTACTAAAGGGCTGCAACAAAATCCTCGAAGCGCACACTGTCTTGCAGAAGCAGGTCTCACAAGAATAGCCGTATGGGGCAGGCTCAGGGCTCTTTCAGCCCAGGACCAAGTGTTACCAACAGTGGCCATGAGCAGACGTCTGAAGACCAAGAACAGGACAAACACAACACAGTGCTTCCAGTGGGCACCCTCTCCTAAGCTATATGCAGCTTCTGCATTATCTAGTAAACTTCAGTGGATCTTTCATATATTTATGCAGCCTATACATCCATCCATGTAAATTTTCAGCCTGACTCTCATTCTGGAAAAAAATTAAATTTTTGTTTAGATAATGACCTTCCTGCAATGGGAAGGCTAAAACAATTAGAGAATGTAAAGAGCATTAGAATTACTGGATGAAAGGGTTATAGATGCATAAAAATCCACTTCATATCCCCTCTTCTGACCCTCTAGTTGGTTATTCATGTAAAATGTATCACATTTTATTTGCTTTATAAATTGGGTTCCCTGGACACCAGCTTTCTGCAGAAGGCAGTGGAAATTACAGTTATTAAAAACTCTTATTGAAAAATAATGTTTTAGAAGGGTAGAGTAAGTCAAATGCAACTGTAAGATAGAGTCTCATAATTATCTCATGATTAGGTTAAAGACGTCGTCCATTTGAGACCAACACAGCACCAGCACACCAAACTCAGAATATCATTAGAGGGAGGAGGAAGAAAAAGAACAGCACCAGTATCTGAAAGCTGAAAAGAAAAGAAACACCTGCGATACCTCTGTATTTCAATACAAATTTCAATCTATTCTACCAGACAGTATTCCCAATTTCTTACCTTTCTTGTGATTCTGAAGTATGCTGTTATAAGACTCATTAGCATCATTTTTAGAAGAACGATAGTTGCATAAGTAGCATAAGCCCGGAAAACTTCATTGTCAATTAACTGGGTCAATTTAGCCATCTCTCCGCCTCTCACCGATGACCTTTAAAAAACATTAAAGTTAGGCTAACATCAGAGCAATCCAAACTCCTGACCACAAGATTGTCAGAATAGCCTTTTTTTTTTTTAGCATCACTACAATGACAGCGCAATTTTACCACAGTGAAAAGTTTATTTTAGAACAAATTTTGTTTAGTTTCACAATGGCATAATATAATTCAAGACGAGAAATTATATTATCATTTAGTATTTCTCTTCCATTACATCTCCTTATGAAACTGCCAAAATATAAAGCACCAAAATATTTAACGGAATTGCAGAAACAAAATTTAGTCACAGAAATCCGTATACTTGGAAATAACACACGGAGTTAGACCAATTTCAGACCAATTCATTTGAACCAGTGAATTTCCCTAAGCAGCTACCAGGACA